TGCTAAAAAATAACAACCAAAAAATTCCACCTTTGAATCACAAATAGTCAAAGTATTTAAGTGCATCTGTGGACCTTGCAGTTTCTAATAAAATTAAAAAAATAAAATAAAATGGGATTTAACAGTGGTGTCAATTCTACAGTGTAGCTCAAATTTGTCCACTGACTGCCGGTTAGAATTTAAAAGTTGATTTTTACAGTTTCATATATATACAAGGACTGATATACTTGTTTTAMTCTTTAATTGTATGAAATTCTTGTGTCTAAGGCATCTGTAGGAAAGATTAAAGTGCTGTACCTCATTCTACCTGAGAATAGATCTACCAAGAAACATCTTGCTAAAGAAATTCAAAAATTACAAAAAGAAGGAGCATGTCATTTTCAGGTTTGAAACTCATTTAAAGAAAAGAGTCTGTGAGGTATTGAAGAGGGTATCATAATTGTTAGGTGGGTTTATTATAGAGGTTATTTGACAGGGTACCTAACTTATAGGTGGGTTTATTTTTAGGTAAAAGCATTTATAGATTTAAAATAAATAGCATATACAGTGAAAAGCATAAATTCAATTTCCAATTTTATTGAACCCTGAAACTACTTCTGGGTTGATCTAAGTCAGAACATGCATGCCTAACTCAGAGATCGAATTCAGTGCTGGTTTTGTGAAGGGAGGAAAAATAAAGAACCTGAAGAAAGTGTCTTGACTATCCTCTTGACTTGCTACTGCCGTTGACATAAGCAAGTAACCTTCTTCCACATGTAATGTAATGTCTTGTTGACTTGACTTGATGGTGCGTGGTATTGTAGATGCAGCTTGAAAATAAAGTAAAATTTGATACTATTATATTCTTATTTCAGATCACTCTCCTTCGCAATACATCAGATCTCCAGACCTATATTGACCAATCACAGTTGCTTGCATATTTTGGTGGYACATTAGCCTATAATCACAAGGCATGGGTTAAGCTTCAAATGGTTAGTATTATATATTACAACACGTTTTGACCGCAAAAAATAATTACAACAAATTTGTGACGTTACAGCGCTTCTCAATCGCACGCGCGAAATCGTGGGGGGRAAAAATCGAGACATAATAGAGTTTTGGTGGACGCCAATCAAAGTGTTTCCCAGCATTGTTGGAAAACACAAAGAGTACGTGCCTATGGAATGTCATGGAAACGCATTGATTGACATCCACCAAAACCTACTTCGTCACGATGGCAAATTGTACGATTTCACGCGTTTGATTGAGAAGCGCTGTAACCGATTTGGCCTGGACGCTATGGCCTCTTTACTTCAACAACCCTATGTTGGCCAGGGAAGAAAAGCCGAGGGCATTAAGCAACTTTTTTCTGAGTATTTTGTCCCACTCTTTTTCTGTTAGCGACTGGAAGATTTGGATAAACTTGTAGAGAACATCCTAGCTCAGTTACCTCAAACGTTGGAAAAACTGAATAGCTTGCAAAGACAAGTTACGAGCAGTTTACGAGCAAATGAAGATGTGAAAGTACAGCAAGTGGAAACAAAGAAATCACTAATAAGAAAGTAAGGGCATTTTCATTCATATGATGGTGATGGTGGTGGTGGTGGTGATGATGGTGGTCAGATGATGGTGTTACCGCCATTGGCATTGCTACGCGGTCACCCCAGACAAAAATCGCGACGTGCACTTTGCAATAGACTGCACGTTGACGTCATTTACACGCGTATGGATCGGCCTGGATAGGCCCGGTGAGTGTGGCTCATAATACTTGTAAACAATCGACAAGTTTTGGCGCCTTTTGAATCACACACGCGCGTAAATGGCGTCAACGTGTTTGATTAACGGCAGTCTATTGCAAAGTGCACGTCGCGATTTTTGTCTGGGGTGGCCGCGTAGCAATGCAAATGGCGGTAATAATGGTGGTGGTGACGATGATGATAATGGTTATGGTGATGGTGGCGATGATGCAGATGGTCATAATGGTTATAATGATGATAGTAATAATGATGGTGGTGAGGATGATGAAGATAATGATGATTGTTGTATCACTTATTTGATTGCATTAAATGATTCTGCGCGGTAAAAGTTTGCTCGTACGTTCTGGGCAGCTCGATTTGGACGCTGCACTAGAGATGACCGTTCGTTATATCAGGTAAAACTAAAAACAAATAAAGAAAAAGTGCAAGAAAACATGTTACGGACGAATATTCTTTGTAACTTTGTTTTCCAGAGACCTATACCTGGATGAAGCGCTCAAAGAAGCTGATGCACTACTAGAATACATGAACAACCCTCACTTGGATGGGTTCTTCTCCCTCATGTCCCGTCAAGCGGTTTTTAAGCCCATGATGTCTGGTGTCCCACTCAATTATACTAAACTGTTGAAGGCCAAAAGAAAACTCGATAACGCAACGAAAGACTGTGAGGTTGGATTGGGAACAGAGGGGGAATTACCTAATGTCGTTCTACTAGAAAATGAAATGAAAAAGGTAAAGCCACAATGATTACTTTATTTACAAGAGGGATAAGAGTTGCTGACTAACATACAGCACTCGAAAAGTATCAAAACTAACCTCATGCCTCGTAAAAGGAAGAAAAGTAGATCTACAATCTTGGACAAAAAGAGTTTTTCATACAATCATGAAATAGTAGAATTTCCCTTATTTAAAAAAATATTGTCCGTACCCCCTCTCCCCCAGGGCAATCTTGGTCCCAGTAGGTAAAGCAGCCCTGTCTCCCTCGAAACAACATTGTATAAGGGGAGGGTTTTTTTGGGGGGAAATTTTTCATGTTTTTCATGAAAATACCATTAAAACTAAAAAATTCTCAACATTTTTGACCAAGATTGTAGAAGAAATAACCAAGTCCCTGCCAAGATGAGAGTATGTGGACCGCGTGGCACTAATGAAATAGTAGAAGATAATATAGGTAAGTTGTAGTGCTTGGGAACGAGGTTATTCCGGGCGAAAGCCCTTGGAATTAAATTCGGAAAAATTAATTTCCGACAGAATTAGCTCAGCTGGTAGAGCATCGGTAGTACAATTCCGAAGGTCGTGGGTTCGTATCCCAGCGAGGTCGGAAATTAATTTTTCCGAATTTAATTCCAAGGGCTTTCGCCCGGAATAACCTCGTTCCCAAGCACTACAACTTACCTATATTATCTTCTACAAGTCCCTGCCAATCAAACTTTGGGGGTGTTAAAGAGTTTCATCATATTCTCTTGGTTTCATCAGTGTCTAGCTTATTTAGGAAGTGTCTTTATAGAGGGAGGTCATAGCAGTTAGTTATATAGCACTAAAAACAACCAATAAAAACAATAGATAAATAAAAAACAATAATATTGAACTCGGTTATCACAAAGTATCGTAATTTGGTATCGTTTTGCGAGCAATTATTTGGCTCTGCCTTCGGCATTGCTCGCTCGCCACAAACAAATCACGATGTTTCGTTCAACCTTGTCTAATAATTGCTTCTTATTTACTTGAAGAATTTTACACTCTCAAAATGTAGGCAACTATCATCTATATGTATCTTAATCTACCACTCAGTAGTCTAGGATGATGTTTGGATACTTTTTCACTACTGAATTCGGAGTGAACAATTTTTTGATGCTCATCTGACGTTTCACGTTTGCCATAAACGAGATGCTTTTAAGCTCTATATTGAAAAAATCCTTTTACCCGACAGATCATTAGTTGGATAGATCTTAAAGGGCGTTCTTACCTGAACAGTCAGACAGACGTACCAGAAACTTTGAGAGAAGCGCAACATTTGCCAATCAAGTTTGATCGAGAGATTTACAAACAAGCGAAGGTAAATATTTCTAAATCTCATAATTAAAGTCTTAGTTCATCAAGGAAGTCTTTATAATTTTGTACGAGAAGATACCGGTGCAATTCTTTGTTTTTTGTCTATAATACACTCAATAATTAACAAATTTATCGTACTCCTCTTGCCCAATCAAAATCGAGTAATTTTGTTGAGTTTATCATAAGGGTATTACAGTATAAATGCTTGTTCATAATGCGTTGATTATTTAGTGCAGTACATCATAGTGAAGCCATATGAGTTGTTTTTAGAGCATGTGTTAATTGTACGGCGTACTGTCGATGTACTAACGTACCATTCCTCTCACCCGGCCTTGCACACTCTAGCAGAATGACACTATAAAAAAATTCACTTTTCCCGCTCTTTTTGGTTCTTCCGGTAGACGCGTGTACCAGTTGTCGGAAGTCAAAGTTTCCGCCTTTTTTATTACCATTGACAAACGAATTTCCAACCGGATGGATTGTTATAAATGGGTGTTACTTCCTGTCGTTACTGCGCATGCCTGTACCTGACTAGCACGGCTCTCTGTTGCGTGCGATAGAAAGACATTACGAAAACAAGAACTAATTAATGTACATTTTATTTTCAGTATGCAGGATGGTTTTTTCAAACTTCTTGACAACCTGTTTAATTTTGGCTTTAATTTTCTGAATTAGGACTAAAAAGGATCAAACATTTGAATAAAAGTACAGTCCTTTTGTAAACGAGTTAGAAGTCTTTTCAGTCTATTTGTGTTGTTTCTTTTTAGCGAACAATTGTTTCTTTTGTTCGTACGTTATGTAGGATCCCAAGTTGTAACT